CACGTCGTGCATTTGGCACTGAGCACATAATGAAATCAGAGGATGCGAATTCCCAACAGCTAGTGGAGCTGTCTGCCAGTGTTGTCCCTTGCAACTATGTAGAGGTCAATAGAAAGTGTTTTTTTCAGAGAATTTCTTTGAAAATGCTCTCTGGTGGTTGTTAAAGGGACGCTTAAGAGCAACATTGAATTAGTTTCATCATTCTATAAAAAGGTCTCATCATATAAAAATCGCACCAATACCTTCTTATACCTACTTTTTGTACTTTTTGTCAGAAACACTTCACATCTGTAAAATTAGTTTTTTTTGTTCCTTGTGTGTTGTGGCTTTATTAATAATTCACTGCTCAAGCCACCTTCTAAATTACAATGATATGAGTAGAAACCTCAGATGTGTACACCGCATTGTCATTGCATGTCAAGCTGTTAAATGAATGGGCTGTTAAAAAGAACCTCCACATGTCAGTGAACTGCAGGTGTAGATGTTTGTGGATTGTGCAGTGAAACAGTTGTTTTTAGAGGAAGTGAGAAATGCCATTTTCAATTGATTTAGCTATTGCCAATTTGTGCAAATTCATGCTGTATACTGTCGAGTGCCTCTTGAATTACTAATAAACTTCATGATTGTGAGTATTGACAATTCTCATTGTTTAAGCCCAGCTTTAGCCCTGTCTCTGGGTGTAAACATTTTGTATTATAAAAAAAGAAGAGAAAGTGTGCGCTGTTGTACAGTACAAGGTTTAATGTGCACTGGGTTGGTCAAATGTTCCCAGGCAGTGCTGTCATAAGATTACAAGCGTAGCAGCCTGGGAACGTTTGAGCACCCCTTTATATTTGAACACACCTTGTGTGTTCAGGGTGCATGCAACTCTTCAAAATTCCTCCCTTTTTTCTCTGTATCCTTTGTACATGTATGTTTCCAAATTAAATAACAATAAAACCATTGAAATAAAAAAGAACATATTCGAAGCCTAAAAGTCTAGGAATTTGTCTATGAGCTGCTTCTTTGTGCTTAGGCAGCAGTGTAGATTCACCAAACTTCATTTCAGCACCAATATGCTTTGTTCTTCAGGGCATTAAAAATATGAAACACTGTTAATGAAGCGATAGACACCTACTGTGGCTTAGGTGCTGGCTCCCTTCTGGTGTTGCACTGTTTTCTTCACGACATTTTTTATTGTTCATTTCCCCACCTGTACGTCAACCTTGTCGTACATTGTCTCTTTCTCGACTTATCTCTCTGCTTCACTATGTCTCGTGCATTTATGCCACAAAATTGGTTTCCCCATCATGTGAGCAGCATGTTAAGTTAGTATACTCCAACGAAGCAAAGCCTAGTTTATGCTTAAAAAGTCTCCGCAGCTAATCTGAACATTTTTTGTGTGTAGTGAACTACTTCTTGTGGAATAAAGGCTTCACTATCACAAGCACTATGTTCATTATAATATAAACTTATTAGAACTAGTCAGAATGTTGAAATGCAGAGCACCCACAAAAATATTCTTTGGATATCTTCTTTAGTCCTTCGAAAACCCAAGACACTGCCTTGAATTCCCTTGACTTTTGTTTTTTGAAACCTGTATAAATAGTCTCTACGTCATATTTCTCTATACTACATCTGAATTGCTCAATGTATTGGCACACCACTTTCAAGTACAGTAAAGTCTTAGTTATAATCAGAAGATACAAGCCTCATGATTGAATGTTTCGGCTAGTTAGAGTTCTCAGGAAACCACGAAGTGGACCACCACTATAATCAGTTCAAGCAGCTGAGAACCGTCCGGTATTGCCTAATGGTCCCAGCAGCATCCCAGGGTGAAACCAGTAGCCTGCTTGAACCAGTACAGAAAACCAGCAAGCATCCTGCTGGTACCAGTAGAGCCAGCAGACAGGGTACTGGTCCCAGTAAAGAACCAGTAGGCACCCCACTGGAACCAGCAGAAAACCAGTAGGCACACTGCTGGAACCAGTACAACCAGCAGGTAGCTTGCTGGGACCATCAGCAAACCAGTAAGAACCAGTAGGCACTTTGCTGGAACCAGCAGAAAACCAGTAGGCACCCTGCTGGAACCAGTACAACCAGCAAGAAACCAGCAGATTAACTGCTGGTTCCATCAAAAACCAACAACTCCCAACAGAAAACCAGCAGGAAATTTTCACCTGGGTGGATAGGATAGTTAAAATAGCGGAGGAGTTTTACAGAGATCTGTACAGTAGCCGAGACAACCACGACCTTAATACTATAAGAACTAGCAGTAACCCAGATGACACCCCACCAGTAATGATAGAAGAAGTCAAAAAAGCTTTGCAGAGCATGCAAAGAGGCAAAGCTGCTGGTAAGGATCAGGTAACATGAGATCTGCTGAAAGATGGAGGACAGATTGTGTTAGAAAAACTAGCCACCCTGTTTACGAGGTGTCTCCTGATGGGAAGGGTACCAGAGTCTTGGAAAAACGCTAACATCATCTTAATACATAAGAAAGTAGATGACAAGGACTTGAAGAATTACAGGCCGATCAGCTTGCTCTCTGTAGTATACAAGCTATTTACAAAGGTAATTGCTAACAGAGTAAAGAAAACATTAGAATTCAATCAACCAAAGGAACAAGCAGGATTTCGAACAGGCTACTCAACAATTGGCCACATTCATACTATCAATCAGGTTATAGAGAAATGCTCAGAGTATAACCAACCACTATACATAGCCTTCATAGATTACGAGAAGGCATTTGATTCAGTAGAAATATCAGCCGTCATGCAGACACTGCGGAATCAGGGCGTAGATGAAGTATATATAAACATTCTGGAAGAAATCTACAGGGGATCAACTGCTACCATAGTGCTTCATAAAGAAAGCAACAGAATACCAATCAAGAAGGGTGTAAGGCAGGGGGACACAATCTCCCCAATGCTATTTACCGCGTGCTTACAGGAGGTTTTCAGAAGCCTAGAATGGGAACAGTTAGGGATAAGAGTTAATGGAGAATACCTTAGTAACCTGCGCTTCGCCGATGGCATTGCATTGCTGAGTAACTCTGGGGACGAATTGCAACTCATGATTACGGAGTTAGACAAGGAGAGCAGAAAGGTGGGTCTTAAAATTAATCTGCAGAAAACGAAAGTAATGTACAACAACCTCGGAAAGGAGCAGCGCTTCGAGATAGGTAATAGTGCACTTGAACTTGTAAAAGAGTATGTCTACTTAGGGCAGGTAATAACCGCAGAGCCTAACCACGAGATTGAAGTAACTAGAAAAATATGAATGGGGTGGAGTACATTCGGCAAGCACTCTCAAATTATGACAGGTAGATTGCCACTATCCCTCAAGAGGAAGGTATATAACAGCTGTATCTTGCCGGTACTTACCTACGGAGCAGAAACCTGGAGACTTACAAAGAGGGTTCAGCTTAAATTGAGGACGACGCAGCGAGCAATGGAAAGAAAAATGGTAGGTGTAACCTTAAGAGACAAGAAGAGAGCAGAGTGGATTAGGGGACAAACGGGGGTTAAGGATATCATAGTTGAAATAAAGAAGAGGAAATGGACATGGGCCGGGCATGTAGCGCGTAGACAGGATAACCGCTGGTCATTAAGGGTAACTAACTGGATTCCCAGAGAAGGGAAGCGGGTTAGGGGGAGACAGAAGGTTAGATGGGCAGACGAGATTAAGAAGTTTGCGGGTATAAATTGGCAGCAGCAAGCACAGGACCGGGTTAACTGGCGGAACATGGGAGAGGCCTTTGTCCTGCAGTGGACGTAGTCAGGCTGATGATGATGATGATGACCTATCATAGTGTTGAGATGAAAGGAGCGTGCCAGGACAAGGTGGCAGCATTTCAATGGGGGTGAAATGCAACAACACCAGTGTGCTGAGAATTACATCCATGTAAAAAGACACCAGATGGCAAAAATCAAAAATCATTCAGAAGTTCTCCTTTATGACACTCATTATAATCATATCGTGGTATTTGTTTGTAAACACCTGACCATTTGTATTTTTTTGGCTGATACCACAGTGAGCTACACGTCTTGAGCTTCTTTTTTTTTCTTTTTTTCAGGTACCTATTTTAAAAGACAAAACACTTTAAGGCAGGTTTTTATGTATGCTGAGTGCTAAAAGTATGTATGCATGAGAGCAAAGTGACCATTGCAGAAACTTGGAAAACTAGGACACTGAGGTTATTCCACACTGAACCCCAGTGATAGCAACATCCTTCTCAAGCACAGCTGCTCCTCTGGCAGCGGCTGCTGGTTCCATGTGAAATTGAGGTGGCAGTTTCGTGACCACAAGAAGCATTGAAAAACTCTGCTAGCGCTTGGAAAATTAATTCTAACCTTGAAGAAAACAAGTCCACTTGTCGAAACCTCGGCTTGAGCACACATCCTGTTTAGGGATGTTTTTCTTCAACTGTGCTTGCCAAATTTGCTCTTCCAGAGTTACATATGAGACATCATCATGACTTAAACTGTACACTTTACTTTCCATGCACCAACATGCTTAAATTGAGCTTTCTTCTATGTTTCATTGAAAGCTGAAATTCATTATGTGGCTCGATTCATTCATGCCCATCCCATAGTTTTCGTATCCGTCATCTAAGATGCGCTCATTACAAATCATTATGTGGTGTCCAATTGTACTTATTCGCTTGCTTAATATACTTTGTTGTCACTGTATATTGTTTTTTTTTTCTGTGTACATTTACCTCTGCACACCCACTGCCATAGTGCTTATTCTGTTACACAGTGAAAAATTATTGTTATAAGTGAATCAGTATTCAAAGTACTATAATGGTGGTATCTTCAAGTAGTATCTGACTTTATTATGTGGGTCACTGTACTGGCCATGCATTTTTATTGGGTCTTTCAAGCTATTACATTCTTTATTTTCACTTGAGCCGAGCACAAAAGTGTTGGGCTGCATGCATATCTGGCCGCCTTCCTTTCTCAATTTTTTTGGTACTCCCTGGCTATCTCATGTACATTATGCATCTGCTCTTTCAGGTGCTGCCCGTGTTTGACACCATCTTGAAGCACATCACTGCTTTTTTTGGTGAGAAGTGTGATATCAGCACCGCATCTTATCCGCCCTTGTACACCAAGCCACAGAAGATAAACCATCTCATCATGATGCTAAAGGTAAGTGGAGGTTAGTGGGCTACTCTTACTCTGGTTTAGACATGCCTTTCTTTCAAGGCATTTCATAGCTCCTTAAAAAAAATTTCATTCAATGAAATCGAACATGACTATCATTCTCTAGCGAGTGCCATGCCCCAATAGGAATTCGTGCTTGCACAGCTTAAATGTTGTCAGTTTTCAAGTCAAGTAAGCTTGATTAAGCATTTTAGCATACAACGTAACATAGTAATATTATGTACTATTACATTTGGAAGTCACATAGTTTTGAGAACTAATAGAAGGACATCTTAATGCTAACAGTGGGGGTCTCCTAATAATGCAATGTCATGCATGTTGTGGAGTGATTTGTAGCACAAGTAGCTGGGCCTGAACCGCTCATTGGAAATGCACAGACAGCATAGGTCAGTGCTTAGACCTTCAGGTAACTCTAACTAGTTCTCACATAAGCAGGGTGTATTGAGTGTGATTCACAAAGGCTCCATTAAATGCAGTTTTAATCCTTCAGAACTCATGGCTTTTCTCATATGTTCACTGGCCTGCTTGTAAGGCGTAATGCAGCACGGTGTCTTCACTTTGTTTGGAAAGTTGTATGAGGTCCGTGACTGCTTCCGTTGCCCATAGGGCCCTGATATTGAGAGAGGCAGCCTTGCATGCAGCAAATTTTAGGCATTGCTGCTATGGTGAGTTGATGGGCATCAATGTCAGCACGAGGGTGATTCAGTGAGGCAAGACGAGTGCTGGCACATACAGATTCAAGTCATGCTGGCAATCTGCTAAGGGTGATGACCTGCTGCCCACCTTATCACCAGGGTGCTGTCTTCTAGATATGCAACACTGTGGCATTGCAACTGGAAGTAGTACAGCGGACTGCTTAAGCGGAACAACCCCACCGAATAGATTTTGTTTCATACTTCAATTGTGCACCCCTGCTCATCTCTCAGTAGACGGAACTTTTAGTAACACATTTCCTGGGTCCCTTCAGGCTCTGCTTAAGGAGTGTCTATGGTATAGAAATTTATCTTATAGCATTATGCGAGAGTTTTTGTCACCACTTGAAAAGCACGGAGTGACCCTGCTTTCGCCTAGTTGTCCTATCCGAAGTGCATAATGGATCTTGTGAGCTTTTTTTTTCATTATGTCTTCTTAGTGAGACTCTTGATTATTTTTTTGGCTAGAAAAAGTGAGTCCCACAACAAAAAAATCGATAGGACACACGAAAACTTTAGTTGCTGCAGAATTTCGTTGTAGCGACTGAAAGACAATCACTTGTACTTTGGTCCTAGCAAGCATATGCACTGAACACTAGCTAACTCAGACGTACCTGGCCGCACGTTGAGTGAATATATTTTCTCGTGCATAACATGCACAAAATGTACAAAAAATTTTGAGCTATAATTAGGGTGCAAATTATACGAAAATATTGGTGCGCTAGTTGGCTTCGTAGCATGCCTTCACAGTAATGCAAGAAAGGCAACCCTGTGATAATACGTGATCACTTTTTTTTTCTGTCATGGGTTGGAGCCGAAGGGTGGCTTATACATAAAAAAATACAATATTCAGACCACCCTTGGAATACACCGAGAACGAGCGGGCCAAAGCGTCGCAATATTATAGCCACAAGCAAACGACAGAAAAGCCGTTACGCTTTACGTCGTTTTTACGACTTTATGGCCCTTAATTATTCTTTAGCTGCGTTATCTGCGTACCTTCAGAGTAGTTGTGTGAAGCAGCAGGTCCATTTTCAATCTGCACGCGCTGGCTGCACACATGACCTCATAACTCCGTCGTTTCTGTTTGTGATTGCATTGATGTGGTTTTCTCCGCAGCGTTGTGGTAAGCAGCATCGGTTGTAGTCAGTGTGTGTTGCATGCGAATGTAGGGGATCACATCGACATCACCACATTTGTGTTCGCAGCAGTTGCAGCAGAATGAAGTTACTCTTGGGCCATGCGTATGTGCGGACCACATGCATTTGTGATCGCAGAGCTAGTGATGATGAGCCATAGTTTCGTGTTCAGTGTGATGTGAAAAACATGGTAGGAGCTCTTAAACAATTCTACCATGGCCCGCATGTTCATCAAACCCACCGGCAGCATCGTGGTATATAGGCGAATTATCGCTGCACATCTCCATCGAGAAACGTTTACCGGGATGTTGATGCGGTGGCAAAAAGCATGTCTTTGAAAAAGAAAAGGGTGTTGTGATGTGACCACACTGCTCTGTAAGTCGTGGGAGTGAACGAGAAATAGCTGACTTGGTAGAGGAAATCCAGAAAAAGTATTCATTGTGGGGGAATTTTCATTGTAGAGGACTTCATTAATGCAGGATTCAACTGTACTTGCATGAACTATTCTGTTTGCACTTGAAGTTACAATGCATACTGCTGGGTATATTCGACGATTGGTTTCACTCACATTTCTATATAGCAGTGTGACTGAATATATGTTAACTTACTCAAACAAGTGGCTACTGTTCATTGGCAATGCACTGCCTGCATTAATCTTACCCTTTACAATGGAACTAAGCTTTGTGTCAGAAATTGGATAGGTCCTCGAATTTTATATATTTCTTCTGTGGTGCAACACAATACTTTACAACATTACACCTTGAATAAGATTGGATTAGGATATTGTGTTTTATCTTGAAGATGGGACTGAGTGCTATTACAGGCATACATTAATATACCAGTCATGCTTGTAGCAGGAAATTTTGTTATATATATGCATCCAAGCATATTCCTCAGCATTTTGCCCATTAAATTGAAAAAAGAACAACATTGCATGAAGTTATACAACATTTTGCGCTGCTCTGTAGTCAGGGTAAAGTGTCTAGAATATACTTACTAGTGTGCCGACCGCCGAGCGTTTTCAATGGAAGAGGCTGGCACTGCCGATGATGCCATCCTCCAAAGGCCATCAGACGGCAACACTCTTAGGGACCGTGCTATCCAAGCGGCGAGGTGCACCGAGAGCGCACGTCGCACACGGGTTTTCATGCGTATCTCTTGCTCTTTGCATGCACTTCGGATTCGCGTGCGTAAACCCAGTCGGTTGCTGAGCAGTTGCGGGGCATTTTGGATGTTGAGCAGGTAGCGCATGTCTCCGCATGCCATTGCCGTGTTTCTTTTCTGTGTGCGTTGCTCACCCTTGTGTCTCTTTACGAAATCGGGAGGTCATCGCAGAAAAGGAGGCGTAAAAACAGCTCCTGCTTTTTGTTTTCCACATCTACAACGAGCAGGTCTGAATTTTTAGCGTCATTGCAAACCCAGAACACTTAGCCGGTTAGGAGAAGACCATAGATCTATAGAATCGTAACTTCGACGGCTGTCGTTTCTGAGAAACATTTTAGTAATTCCTACGTAAAGCGCTCGTTCAAAATTACAGTCGATCGTGTCATCAGTGAATTTCCTCGTGAAAAACTCAAACAAAAATTTGTATCCTTCATTTTATTTGAAACTCTCTACATTTCTTTTCACGATCAAGATGATTTTTTGCTTAAGCTGGCGTCGCCGACACCAGCATTTCTACGAAATTAGCTTTTTATTGCTGTTGCGTTATTATTCATTATTTTTCTTGCACCACTCGACAATATCCGCATCCGTACTGGGTGTTTCAATAGATGTGTCCAAAATCCTCACAAATGAAAAAAATTCGATGTGTGTTAGCTGTAGCACTCGAAACATACTAGTAATGATATTAAAATATTTGCGTTTATTGAACTGCTAGCGTCAACACCATTAGAGAATTGAAGCTCATTCGAAGAACTCATCCTACCTTTGAACAATAGAAAAATTGGCTTATAGTAAATGTTGGTGCATAATTAAATACACCAATTGCCGCGAGTTTCACCGTTGAATTTTGTTGAGCATTATTACAGTTGACTTTTTCCTGGGAAATCGTGCATATTCATTTATCTGTTAATTTTTCATCAAACACTCGATAATGTGTACCGTATTAATGATAACGAGGCGTACGTCCATTTGTAAGTGCAACGAAAAAACGTTGCTTTGGTTAAGCGTCGCTTCCCAACCAGCGTTCTACAATTCTAAGGGGGCTGGGAGTGCCCACCGGCCCCTGTCGCACGCGCGTGTTGGGTGGAGTGTTGATAGAGACACGGCCGCTGGATATATCCAGCCATCGTGGTAGAGACGCCGCCGACACCACTCCGCTCGGGCTCTGGCCACTCGGCCATTCGCTTGGTCCATTCGGCCATTCGCTTGGCATAGCACGGTCCCTGCGGCTATCGCCGTTTGGTGGCCGCTGGTGGAGGGCATCATTTTCTGTGCCACTGCGACGGCCGCCGTCGGCACGCTAGTAAGTATATTGAAGGCACTATAGTCAGGGCCAAAATGTGCTCAGGTGACCTTCTTGTCATTGGGAGAAGCTCTGCAGCCGGCGCCAGCACACCGCACTCCAGCGAAGTGTGGGCCTCACACGTAACCAGAGTAGCCATAACATTGTGCACAAAGTTCAGTAGTTACGCACTTGCAGCAAATGGACAACTTGAGGCCGTAAATAAAACAAACCCATGAATGGCTGCGGATGTCTCTGACAGACTCAAAACATTGCCGCCACAAAACTTGGAGCTGAAGTGCGGACGTCCTCGAACTCTAAGCTCGTCTTCACTCAATTAAGGTCCAGTTGTTAAGCAATATCGAGTGATACGTGTGTTTTGCAGTGCTGGTGCTCGCCCATTGCACGTAACGCTGCCACCGTGCATCGACTAGTGACACTAGATGCTACTCTGTGTCTGATATAATGAAAAAACAAAACCAAAGCTGCTGAAAACTGGCTAAGGCCATCTCAACACGTTAAACATATGGCGGACCTTCCGAAATAGTTTTTGTGGAATAAGTTTTCTCTGACTCGCAGCAACAACTCTCTTTTGAATAACTGGCATAAATATCTGGCAATTATTACTGCTGAACACTGTCAATTTCAAAGCTGACATTTTAATTCGATATTTGAATTGTAAAGGTTCTTTTGATTAGGGAACTTTGA